CTCCAAACTACAGGAACATGGAGTAAAAAGTAAACTGCCTCTATTGTAGATGAGATTATACTAATGCTTTCCCAGAAGCTTACAGAAATTGATTGGATGAATGGGCTGAAAGTGGAAGCAGACAACTAGTTCCCTACACTGATGTCTTAGTATAGAAGCAACTTCTCCATCTCCCATTTGGCCCATCCAAGTGTAAAAGCAATTCCTCCTTGGTGATTTCCTTATTCGTGGCTGCAAGTACTTGTATTAATTTGAAGTTTCTACCTAAAAGCATAGAGTTTAACATGATTATCTTGTTATTAGAATATTCTGAGTTGATTCAAAGATATTTAAAGTCTTTGGTATAAACACTTCAACATTCCAAGAGAATTTCTCCATCACATAGATCTGGTTTTTTTCTTTTCATGTAACACCAGGGCCTTGAAGAAATGGAAGAAAAACCAGTCTTCGGCACTTTTTTCCTACACAGACTCATCAAATAACATCATGTAATTATTATGGATTTTAGGGAATGTTCCACACATATTCTTATTTAGACATACACACACACACACTAAGCTACCTTTTTCTGCCAAATGTTTGATGTACCATTTTGCTGCCAGCAGTGTGACCTTCCTGCTGAAAGGTCAAGCATACCTTTCTCGAAGTGTTTGTGCCAAGAGATGAACAAATACAGTTACTAAGAGACAAAGCATAATTCAACAAATAAACCCACTGGCACCAACGTGGATGGGAAAGTCAACTGAACATTCTATCTCATAATGGATATTATCTCATTTATGGATAACCAGCACTTAGAAGAAATAGATAACAATGCACATGCATTTGATCAAAACACTTACAGGTGCTGTTTCTAAATCTGAGATGATTTAGAAGAGCCTCAGGAGTCTCATCCTGCCCCTGCATGCCCTGGGTGTTTCAGTTCTATGTGGTGTGGAATACCAGTGACTGGTGAATGTAGCTTCTGAGGAGATTTCACAGAAGGAACAAATAGACTGTCATGCTTTTATTACAATCCAGTGGTTGGGTAGGTATGAGTTTGACTAGTCAGCTTCATTTCAAATACAGTTAAGTAGAGGGTGAGGAAAATTAGACTTGTCTCTAAACGAAGCACAAGACAGAAGTGGTGGTATTGTTTGCATACATTGTGTTGTGTACTCATCTGTGTTTTTGGACAAATGTGCTATGGTGAAACTGGTATTCACATACATCTCTGGGGTTATAGTCCTTTCTGGAAGGCAATTTGTCAATGTGTCTCAAAAGTCTTAAAATGAACCTACGCTTATTATATGGAAATTCTAACTTCTGGAGATAGGTACATCCTGATAAATAATTGAACATGTGGTAAAGTATGTCTATGCTGATGACCTTTGCAGCATTACTTATAAGAGCATAAGTTTTGAAAAATCACTACTGTTCATCAGTAGAAAACTGTTTACATTAGAAGACATTCACATAGCTACCACATACTTCTGCACACAGAGTACTACGTTGCTGTTGAAAATTTTATTTTGCTAATGTGCTAAAGTAATCTTAAATAAGAGAAATGAGAACAACACTTTTTAAGTGATATCTTTAACATGATCCCACTTAGTTAAAAAAAGACATGCATAGGAAAATGTCTGGTAGAAAACATCAAATGTAGTCATAGTCATATCTAAATGGTGTGATTGGGGAACTGATTTTTATTTTCTCTTACCTATATACTGTACTGTCCAGTCTGAGAAACTAATAAGTGTATACTACTCTTAAAATTAGAAATAGGGCCATCCCTGGTGGTGCGTGCAGTGGATTAAAGCACAGCACTATGAGGATGTCCATAGCCACTGCAGCATGAGTTCGATCCCTGACCAGGGAGCTGACCCATGTGGTGCAGCAGACCTCTCCTGTCTTGCACTCTGCTCCCCTCAGCAGTGTGTTTCAGTCAAGCTGCCTGTTCTACTCCCCACTCTATCTCTGGTGAATCTTCTCACCCTGTCCACCCTGCACCTCTGGCCTGGATCCCAGGTCTTGTATGCACAAATAAATAAATCTTTAAAAAAAATCAGAAATAAAAATAAATCAGTTTTTTCCTTTTGGAAAGAAAAAAGCTCGTAACCATGGTATGAAGGCTGTTGTGAGAAGAATGAGACCTCAAAACTAAGAGACCACAGCCTGCGTTACACACTGATAATATACAGTGTCTCACAGATGAAGAATTTCCACAGGTAACAAGTCACTTGATGTGGACGCATTATCAGTGTTTAAAACATAAAATCAACTGGTCAGTTTTTGAGTCAGTAGCTGGACATGTTGTGATTCAAAATACCATGAAATCATTTGGCTCTTTTGTTTTTAACTTTGCAAACAATGTTAACCTGTTTCTATATTATTAGAAATAAAGGAACTTTAGGGGTGTTGCTCTGGGACTTGTGTATCTTAGGCAAGGAGCTACCAATGGAAAATAATTGTCAATTTTAAGCTGTAGCAAGAAAGAAGAGTTAGAAAAGGCAGTGAAAATGAGCTGGTGGTTCACTCCTTCAAGGTGAAGAAGACTAAGTGTGACCTGACTTAGTGTTGTCAGAGCTGGAAGCCAGCAACATCCAACCAGGAAGCATACGGGGTAGGTAGGAGCAGGAAGAAGGTATCGCCAATGTTCAAACAAGTGAGAAATTAAAGGCTGCAAATGAGACTCTAGTAGAAAAGTGAGGTATCCCTTCTAATGCAGCGTGACCCAGCCAGACCTTTTGTGGCTCTTCCTTGTGTGGGAAAAGGAGACCCCAAGTGACAGCAGACCTAACCTGATCTAAAGATAGTGAAGAACAAATTAAGACTTTCTGTTTGATTGGCTTGGGAAGCAGGCGTGAAGGGCTCCTTCTTCCTGCTGTGATGAAAGCTGTCTACTGAGAAATAAGCCAAAGGAATATTAGGCCAAGAAGCTCAAGATTGAAGCCAAACCACCAGGAAGGCTGTTGACTACAAACTACAGTGCGATTGAATTAGAAATGAACATTTGAATCTTGTCACTTTGTCAACTCAAAGTTAGCAAGTCTAAAATTGAACTTTCTTTCTGGACAAAGCAGCTCCTCAACTGAACTTCCCAAATAACAGCAAAACATTACTCTGTGGGATGCCTTACCACACTGGATCTATCACTTTAGTTGATTGTCCCACAGAAAGACCTAGAACTCAGCTTAATCAAAGGCTAACAAGAGACTGATTCTAGAAATCCTATTTTCTGAGACCTGGCCTAGTCATCCTTCACCTGTAACATACTGCCCTTTCCTTCATATTTGTGGAAATAAACATGTCAGTTATATAATTACCAAGTGACCTTTTAATCAATAAAACTGGCATTTGAGTATTATACACTAGTACAAAGTCAGATTTTCTGAAGTAGCAATGAACAAACCAACCAACCTTCTCAGTGGTTAATCTTCATGTTTTT